AGAGAGAGAGAGAGAGAGAGAGAATGGATTCCACCGTGGGAGGAGACAAAAGAAAAGAAAAAACCTTGCAGTAAACATATGCATATCAACCATGTCAATTCTGGGCATACACTGTCTCACTGTCTCTGTTTTTTAACCCATCAACAAATGTCCTTAGAGCCCACAATGAAGGAAGAAGCATTTCCATTTCAACTCTGAAGGTGGGATGAAACACCTGTCCTGGGTAGACTCCGTGTTACCCAGCAGTCTCCTGACAAGGGTCTTCTGGCAATAATCTGTTAAGGAACAGACATCTAGAAATTAACCTGTCCTGAGTAGACTCCATGTTACCCAGCAGTCTCCTGACAAGGGTCTTCTAGCAATAATCTGTTAAGGAACAGACATCTAGAAATCAAGCCTTGGGAAACCAATAGGCTACCTGGTTGTGAATATTCCAGGATGCAGGCAAGAGTGCTCCGGATCAGAGCCGTCCACTGTTTCTGAGTTTCTTCGGTTTTGGCCATCGGAAGTGTCACGATGCTTTTTATCCCCTGCAGAGCTGCGCTGACTGGAGGAGGAACCTGATTGTCTGCAGACTTTATTGCTGTGTCTTTTAATATTCTTGCAATTAAGAACAGAATTGTGGGCAGGATTGTCATACAGCCTGAAATAAAAACAAATCAGGTTATTTTGTAACTCTTTCAGTTCCCACATGATAGCTGTTTCCAACACGCACGCACACACGCAAACATACAAGTTATTTTTCCACAGGTGATTGTGTTCTCCTCTCCCTAAGATAAGGTCTTATAATTTTGCACAGGCTGGTCCCACACTCGAAGCAATCCTCCTGCCTCAGCATCACCATGCTTGGCTTGACTGTGATTTACTATTACTTCTTCCTTGACTTTATTCAAATTTACTGTATTACTATCACTATACATCAGTTTGACAAATAACACAAGAAAGTGGCATATTGTTTTTTTTTTTTTTTTGGTTTTTTGAGACAGGGTTTCTCTGTGTAGCTTTGGAGCCTTTCCTGGGACTCACTTGGTAGCCCAGGCTGGCCTCGAACTCACAGAGACCCGCCTGCCTCTGCCTCCCGAGTGCTGGGATTAAAGGCGTGCGCCACCACCGCCCGGCGGCATATTGTTTTTAAATAGAAGTGGCATTTTCTTTTTTGTTCCAACTGAACCTTGTCTTTATTCTTCCAATGTGACCTATTTCGTGCTGTCCTTCACAATGGGAGTAAGACTGGGGGATAGAAGAACTGGAACACAAACCGTAAACTCTGAGTAGCCGGGTGACTCTTACAGTGATTCTAAGAGAACTCAGGTCAGGAAAACAAAGGATGTGACCGGGCAAGCAAACGCGGGAAGAAAGCATTCTAGAATCCGGCACCGAAACCGTCCTCCAGTGCAGCCCCCGTGGCGCGGCCAGATGGAGAAGCCACTGGTTCACACTTGTCAGGTGGAGCCACAAAGGTCTGTGTGGGCTGAAACGTACCACACACCTTCTGGTACTATTTATACTTTGAAACAGAGAGAAAGTCTATCCACAAGATAGTTTCCAGGGTCTACCGACAACTACTATCTTTATTAACCATAATCCTTTCCAGTGCTCCTTCGGGTTGACTGCCACTCTCCTCAGACAGGCTTTATTGTTCAGTGACATTCACGAAGGGGACCAGATTATAAAAGAGGAGTTCAGTCATTCCTCCCATGTCTACCTGTTGGCTTCACATCTTCTCTCGATCTTCAAGTTTTGATTTGTTTTGGGGTGATCAAAACCAAGACAAGGACCTGGCATATGCTGACCAGCTCTCCAGCACTGAGCTACAGCCCGTATCTCCCTCTGAGAGATTGATAATGAGGCTACCTTAGGTTGCTAGCTTTAGAAACTTTAGTCTTTCCTAGGCTCTCACAGGCAAAGTAACCCTTTAAAAACTTCCCGTTTAGCGCCTGAGATGTAAGAAGAAAAGAACCCTAAGTTAAAATGCACAGAAAGCTCATCTTTGCCTCATCGTATGGCACACTCCCAAACACTGATCGGTACCGTACCAGCTGGTGAGCAGAGGGATGGCAAATCGGACAGAATGGCCACCGTGGCCGCCACCAAACGAGCACTTTCTTCTGACAGGCGAGTTTTTGTGGCCATGTGACTCGGAGAGTCCGACATCTTAGTACTCAGGTGTGGCATATGCCGCACTAAAATGAACATCAACAGCTCCATGGTTGAAAACACAAGAGACTTTCCAGGGATGAGGCCACCGCTGTCACCTCCTTCTCCTAGGGTGGGACAGGACTCTTTTTCCATGTCCTCTTCATCTAAGAAAGTACAATTTGATGGAATTTCCAGAAAAGAAATACATAAAATAATAAGTACATCTAAATGATTTCTAAAGGGTTTAGAAGTAAATGTGTAAATGGTGCCATATGTCCTTCTCAGCAAATGTCCTGGATAGATAAACCCTCCTTGGAAGCCACGGGCAGTTCATTTCACCTGGAAAATCACTACTAGGCTTTTTATTAGGTTTGTGTTTCATAATAGGAATAACAAATTTGCTAGGTTGAACCATATAAAATTGACACCTTTGAATGGAAGAAGTCCAGAATTTGCAATTTCTTTTTTTAAACTTAAATTTTTATTTATTTATTTATTTGGTTTTTCAAGACAGGGTTTCTCTGTGTAGCTTTGTGCCTTTCCTGGAACTCACTTTGGAGACCAGGCTGGCCTCGAACTCTGCCTGGTTTTGCCTCCCGAGTACTGGGATTAAAGGCGTGTGCCACCACCGCCCGGCAATTTTTATTTTTTGAGACGGGCCTCTAGGCCAAGCTGACCTTGAATTTGCTATGTGGTGGAGAATGAACCTAGAACTTTTTGATCTGGCTTCTACCTCCCCAATGCTGGGGTTATAGGTATGCCCCCGTCATGCCTGGTTTATAAAACTTCTTAGTCCTATCATTATAAAACGAGGAGGAGTACAGGGCTGGAGAGACGGTTCACTGGTTAAGAAGACTGGCTGCTCTTCCAGAGGACCAGGGTTTGATACCTGGCACACACCTGGCAGTTCACAACCATCTCTAACTCCAGTTCTAGAGATCCAATGCCCGTTTCTGTCCCCTGTGGGCCCCAGGCACGCATGTAGTGCACAGACATACATGCAGGCACCACACCCACACATATGAAAAACAACCACCCCAAGCCTCGGGGAACAAAGAGTGTTTGCTTCAGGTCAGTGTAGCTTCCAGCACTTACTTAGGGTGCTTCTCTTCTCCTGTAAATGATCCTGAGCAGCCCTGACGATCTGCTGCACAACCCCAGTGACCAGCAACTGGATGGAGGGCGGGTTCCAGGTCAGCAGCAGACGGTGTAGGACACTTAGCAACTCAACACCAATCAGCTGTTATAAATTAATACAAGTACGTTTAGTGAATTTCAACCTCAAAGGATAGATGTTATTATTAAAATCTGAGAAAACACACATGTGAAAGTAATTTTGTAACTAAAATTTAACATATAGGACTAGATAACAAAAGAGAATATTATAATAATAAAATTCAGAGGCCACACATTTTCAAGCAACAAATGGCTAGTATTAAATATTTGAAAGTTTGATATCCAGATATTATTCTCCTCCTACTGGAATAAAACACCTGAGCTATTGGTATTGCTAGAGTTCAGCATCACAGAAGTGTGTAATTGCCAACCTAAGATGGGTAACTGCTATGTCCTACGCACCTCAGGAACCATTTCACACTTGGATGTTAATCCGCTACAATTTTTCCAAACCTAATTGATACAATGAGCTTGCCCCAAATTAAAACACACAGGAGAAAACCTAATTCAGTCAAAGCTTTCCTCCCTTCTTCTCTTAAGTCTACAGCCCTGGCTGTGGCTGCTGGTAAAGCGCTTGCTCAGCACGCGTGAGACTCTGGGTCCAATCCCCAGAAGTACAAAGAAATTTAAAAAAAAAAACCAAGGCTGTTCCATTTCTCCTTGTGTGTCCTTCTCTTATCCTAGGAGACTTCCAGGAATTGGTAAAAGACCCCTGCCTCTCCAGTCAGGCCACCTCTTGCATGTAACTGAATGTTCTAGACTTCCTTATTTCAAGTCTGCAAAGGCCTCCTCTGTCCTTTTACGTAGGCTGTGTCTTTCTCTCGTCCTCTTCCCTTCCACACTGTCCTCTGTCTGTCTTGAAATGCTCCTCTTGTCCTCTACAGCTGCTGCCTCTGCTCTATGCCTACCTCACTAATGATCCCTACTGCTCAGCTAGTTCACTCTTTTTGATTCACCTCTACTCAACTTTTCTAGACTACTATTCTTTGGAAAATTAAGTAGAGAGCCTCACAACTGGTCTCCATGCTTCCTTTCTCATATCTCATAAACCAACCTCCACAAGGTTGTTGTGAAACCCTCCTACATCTATCTATCTATCTATCTATCTATCTATCTATCTATCTATCTATCTATCTATCTATCTATCTATCTATCTAGGCAAATGCAAAATTAATCCTTCTTCCATTTAAACATTTTAATAATTCCTTTTACTTTCAGGATAGAATTCAAATTCCTTTGCATGTCATAAAGAAATCTTCCTAGTTTGGCCTTTACAGCACTGTCCAGCACCATCCAATGACCTCTACCTGTTTTATATCAGCCAGAGTACAAGACTGTAGTAGCCTTGAACTTGTCATGTTCTCATGAAGCCCAGTTTTTGTGTGTGTGCTGTTCTTTCTCAGAGGCAGACTCATCTCTTTGGCAATCCCTCTCTAAGATCTGACTCACTCACTCTCTCTCTGATAAGGTATCCTTTACCTTTGCATCGCACTGCTGCTGCCCCACCCTCTCCTCTTTACTCCCATAGCTATGGGGCTAAGAGGGCATGGCATCTAGCTGGAGCATAACTCCATGTAGTCATCCAGGAGTCATCCAGGAGCCTTTTCACTAGCATCAGTTACACAGTCCTGTTTGCAATATACAAGGCTTATTTACAATGCGAGAGATTTATTCCAAAGTAGATATGATTACTGCAAAGCACACAATTCTCTATTAAAGAAATGCACGGTACCTGATCTTCTGCAATGTGGACTCGTGCATAAGGAGAGCCCAGTAAGGTGTGTAGGGCCTGCAGGCATGCTGTGACATGGTCAACGGGCTCCTCCGGCCGAGGGGCGCAAAGGAACTGTATACTCACACCTGGAATGCGAACACAAAGTGAAAACACGGGTCTTGAACACAAAACACTCACGTTGGTTGGGCAGTATGTTGTTCTCTATTTTCCCAGATGACTGTATGTTTATTAATACCAGAGAGTTAGAAATGTAATCTAGGCTAAGCAGACAGATACAACAAAGGGCTGTAGCCTGCATACAGGGTATGCACAGCCTGTCACCAGGTTGATTAGGAAGATATTCGCCCTTCAGTTTCTAGAATTAAACAGTATAGTACAGTAAGGATAAATTTATAAGCATTTCACTACTTTTATTAAAGAGTTGCCCAACAATTTTTATTCATGCATGCTTTTTAAAGGTTTAATTCTGTGTATCTGTGTGTGGGTTTGTTCATGTGAGTGCAGAGGCCTGCAGAGTCCACAGAATGAGGTCAGATCCAATGAAGCTGGAGTTACAGCAGTTGGGAGGCCACCTGATGTGGGGGCTGGGGATGAGCTCAGGTCCCTGGTAAGGACAGTAGTGCTGCTCACCACTGGGCCATCTCTCCAGGCCATATACAAGGTTTTTAAATGTCGAGCTACACACAAGACTTGTCAAAACAGGCGCTCGATGTACACAAGGGTCAGGCTTTGAAAATGTTTCATATTTTCAGTTGTGAGATCTATGAATTCCATAATTACACCTTACTAGTTGTCTTCCTTTTCTAAAAATATGAGATCACAAAAGTTTATGGTGGTATTTTATTTGTACTGAAATGTGATTTTAATTGTATGTTAATAAATAAAGTTGCCCTGGGGTCAGAGCTATTAGAGCCATAGCAAGACCATGGTGGTTAGAAGAGCTAGGTAGATTTCTGTGTGTTCAGGGATACAGCCAGTATTGGAGACATACGCCTTTAAGACCTGGAGGGCGGTACTTACAGGCAGTGATGAGGCAGTCATGTGGTTGGGTTTACAACCAATGAGAAGGCAGAACAGAAAGATTATTTAAACAGGGACACAGGAAGTACCTCCCTCTCTCGGGGAAGCTAGGAGCACTGCAGGAGGTAAGATTTTAGCTCTGCACTCTGACCTCTCGGCTTTCTCTTTTACATTGGTTCTGTGTTTCTTATTTTAATAAGACGGTTGGTTACATCTACAAAAGTTCCTTCAGAATATGTAAATATTTAAATATTAAAAGAACATTTATAAATTAAAAATGATTTAAAAGTAGACTATAAACAATTTTTTTCTTCATTGCCAAAACAGAGAAAACATGTTGAATAAAAAACCCCAGGTTTTTTTCCTTGAAATTCAATATTCTGTGAGTGAACACTATAGCTAAACTTTTAGAGTAGTTTAAAATAATTTTAGATTAGAATTCAGTTAGCACATAAGTGGAGCTGCAAAAGTCCTTTTATTGTTCTGTCTCTGAACTGTACTATGCAAAACTTCTCTGCAGCATCAAAACGAAAGCTCCCCATGCTCTGAAGTGGCAGGTCCTGAAATGCATCAGGTCACCCACCTAGGATCAGGTGCATTCTGTCTCTGTTCACTTCTGGCAAGGGTTTAGCACTAGCCATTGCTCCGGGCACCGGGTTTAAAGTGACAGCTGGGGAGCGTTTCTGTCCACCAGACACGGCTGCTGCTTCGGTGGCCTCCGGACATGTAAATCCTGTGCTGTTCAACCAAAGGGCCACCGCATGGAGAATCGGGGCCCAGGAGTTCCGGTAGTGAAGTCTCGCTGTATCGATGGTCTCGGGAGTATAAAACGCCCCACCTGTGAAACAATCAAATTAAGTCGAGACATTATTTCCAAAAGTGTGCTCTGGCAACAGGCTCCTCCCCAACCACAGGCCTCCTCCACAGCTAAGCTGGATGGGCCTGTCTCTCCTGATGCCAGCCTTCCAGCCTCTCCTCTCTGCCACCAGGGACACCATGCATCCTCATACTGCTCTGCCTTGGAGGGACAAGCCGGCTGTCCCCCCTACACTCTGTCTTCATCATAACAGAGCCCTCTCCGTCTGTTTTCCACTCTCCTCTTCCTCCCCATCTCCATTTCCACCGCCAACACTGACCTTCTACCCTCTCCTGGCTATCGGAGTGCCCCACGGGAGCAGAATAAAAAGGACTCAATCATTGTCATCAAAATATTTGGGAATCAATCATACGTTTCCTAAACAAAAACAGTCCATAATGGTGTCCTGACTGATCTCAAAAGGAGAACTAATTAAATACAAATAAGCAAGAGCCTTAGGAACAGAGTTCATGGCTCAACCAGGATGTACATGGAAACACAACCACTGGGCTGCACAGCAGTATACTTCATCACAGTTCTGGTCACTGGGTGTTTCCCACAGCTAGTTTAGAGTGCCCTGTTCGTACAGCTATCACTACAATGGCACTAACGTTTTTGCTTCAGCTAACACGCTCCCTGGTCATAGCCTGAATTCACAGAATCAGTATAAAGGACAGGCTCTAAATTAAACAATGCCACGCTGAAGTCCACAGATTTGAAGATGTTATTTCGTTACTGTTGGTACTAGCCTCTGCCAAGTCCGTTTTGTTTAATGTCAGTTTGAACTCCATAAAAGCAGACTAGTGCAGCGGGCGGTGGTGGCGCATGCCTTTAATCCCAGCACTCGGGAGTCAGAGCCAGGTGGATCTCTGTGAGTTCGAGGCCAGCCTGGTCTCCAAACCGAGTTCCAGGAAAGGCACAAAGCTACACAGAGAAACCCTGTCTCAAAAAACCAAAAAGCAGACTAGTGCATGTGCTACTTACCATCCGGGGGCAGCTGACTAGAAAACTCAGCTGGTAAAGTCAACAGCGCGTAGTCCCTCAGCGCGGCCAGCCACAGGCGGCTGAGTGTGGGCAGCTCAGGCTGCACCAGGGTTATCAAACTATCTGGCGGCAGTTCATCCATGGTACCATAGTCGTCATCATCATCATCAGGGTTTTTAATTGCTCTCTTTGGTTTGGACTCTGCTTCCTTTTTAATATTCATAGCAACCACATATACCTAATAAGACATTCATGAGTTGAAAATGAGGTATCAGATAAAAATTGAATATTTTAAATTGTTATAATGATGCAGTTGAATGATCAAGGGGAACTGGGTGTGGATATTAGAAGGTATATAACTTTATGAATTCTTGATAACCACTAACGAGCAACTCTAGCTCCTGCTTCAGAACATTTCTCTGGTTTCTGGCCATTCCTCTCGCACCATGTCCCTTAAGTAGGCTTCTCTGAGTTATTCTGGCATCCTTGTTCCACTTTACAAAGCCTCCTTTTTCCCAGCACCGAGTATAACTTCCTGTCTACTGCCTCTTTCCCAGGCTTACTAGGCATAATGAAACAGCCTTCAAAGAAACAGACTGAGAGAAGGGAGGTGGCCAGAGAAAGGATATCCATAAATATCCCCCTAATCTGCCTCCTACACAGGCCTTAAGTGAGGCTCGGCAATGTCACAATTACAACAGATAGCCAATCTAAGAATATAATGTACCTGTCATATGTATTATCTGTGTCCTTTGTAGTTTGTGGACTTTTTAAAGACATGTAATGTCAACTCTCCTAAAGCATGTTCACTTCACTATTGAGTTTATTTTTGTACTTACGTTTAGGCTCTGGGGAACTGATAATACAGTGCTGGAGAACGGGAAAGGGAAGAAAACAAGCAAGAGAAACATCTGCACTGCACAAAAGTCTTGAGAACCTTTCGTTCTACAGCACTGCTCCTGTGTGCCTGCTGCGGAAGCTCCTGTGCCTGCCTCTTGAGAGGTGGGGATCACCTTACACTCATTCACACAGTGAGAGGACAGCTGGAGCACAGACAGACAGACAGCCTTACACTCATTCACACAGCGAGAGGACAGCTGGAGCACAGACAGACAGACAGTCATTAACAAAATTCTAGAGTAGACCGATGGCAGCTTGGGTTAGAAACACCACATTCATTCTTCCCAGAGGTGCTGTGTTTTGTTTTGTGTTTCAGATGGGGGGTGTCTAACTGTTACCCTGGATGGCCTGTAACTCACTATGTAGACCAGGCTGGCCTCAAGCTCACAGAGACCAACCTGCTTCTGCCTCCTGTGTATTGGGAGGAATCACACACCCACCTTTCCCAATCATTTTAAGATTGCCCGACACCTCAATTTTGATATTATACTGACATTCTAGGAAAGTGTCCAATAAACACTATAAATATAACCAGCAATTCATTTCAATCCTTAATTGACAGAGGCTGGAGAGATGGCTCAGCCATTAAGAGCACTGACTGCTCTTCCAGAGGACCCGGGTTCAATTCCCAGCAACCACATGGCAGCTCACAACTGTCTGTAACTCCAAGATCTGACACCCTCACATAGACATACATGCAGGTAATACACCAATAAAAATAAAGTAAAAATAAATAAATAATCCTTAATTGGCACCTTGCTTTTGTTATTGTGCTAGGAATTAAGGCAACAAAGACAAAAATACCTACTTTTTCTTTCTATGACCTTAGAAATACAATGATGAGGGAGTGATAAAATGCTGATTTTTTTTTACAGAAAAAAATTTTTGTTTTGTTTTTTGGGACAGGGTTTCTCTGTGTAGTTTTGGTGCCTATCCTGGATCTCACTCTGTAGACCAGGCTGGCCTCGAACTCACAGAGATCTGCCTGCCTCTGCCTCCTGAGTGCTGGGATTAAAGGCATGCTCCACCACCACCTGGCCTTTTAAAGAATTTTTAAAGTTTGTTTTCAGGCTGGGTGAATGCCTGTACTCTTGGGAAGCTGAGGGAAAATCTGGGTAACACCCGTTTTGGTAACATAGCAAGACACTGTCTGAAACCGCAAACAACAGTAAACCATAAAGAAGGAATGAAAAATCAGAAGTCCCACACTGCACATGCAGCACCTTCCTACCATTTCCCCCAGCCCTGGTGCTGAGTGCACACCTGACTTCTGAAGTGAATGCGCAAACCTCAGGAAGCACCAGTGAGGGCGCATCTAACCACAGAGCACAGCAAAGGCGGGGCGGGAGCACCAGTGAGGGCGCATCTAACCACAGAGCACAGCAAAGGCG